TAGGGTGGGGATCCTTGACAGTTCTGTTTGACGATTTCCATTTTGTTACACTTTGAATTTTGATTTTGAAAGTCTTTGTGGATTTGTCAGTTTTGCTTATTTTATGTTATTTATTATTATTCTACTAGTGATAGTTGTTATAAAGGTAGTAAACTAAAATTAATGGAATTTGGGCAGATCTTAACATTAACAGGTGACCACTATCGCGATTTATCGAAAAAGACTCTAAATAGTTGGTTGGGTAGCGTGCGGTAGATCTCGGCAAAAATTGAGTGAATAATGGAACAACTTTTCGCTAGTAGTTACTTATTAATATTACATACGCATGTAGTAAAACCGATTCATTTTATGATTACTTAAATTAACTAAAATATATATTTTTCTTGCATTTTAGCTTTTATTTATTACTTTGTCAAAGATTAGATGTCAAAGGAATTTAGATACGTGAATATGACTTACCTGTTTCAGTAGAGTATTCGGTGTTTGTGTTAAAGAAATATTATTATAACTTTATCTATTTTTATATAGAATTATTATATTTTTAAAAAAAAAAAAAAAAAAAAAAAAAAAAAAAAAAAAAAAAATAAATAAAACAAGAAATTATTGAGTCTACCCCACGTCTACCCTATATCATTAGTTTACATTTTTTAGAATAAAATCTTAAGAACGACACTGATAAACCCGGAATTTAAGTCGGCCATATTTGAGGCCCATCGCGGTTGTACTAAGATTTTGATATGCTCCTTCCTTAGTCTTCTTATTCAAGAATTCTACCAAAATTAATACTATGTTTACCACAATACACCAAAACACTTTCTTTTACACTGGTTAGATTCATCAGCCAAATGATGTATATAAACTAAGTAATAACCAAAGAGTAGATAAGACAAGAGACGACAGTGAACAAAGAAGTCGAATTTCGCGAGAGAGACGCAGAGTTATATTTAAAATTTAAAGGTCCCATCAAGTCCCATTTTCTCTGTTGCCAAGTATATTTCTTTGAAAAATAAACAAGATTTTCTGAAAATTAAATTAATAATATAAGAAGAATATAAGTAACGTATGTTAATACGGAAATGTAAAGTTTTTTAGTTTAGGTTTGGTTTAGGTTCTTTTTTCGTAATGTACTGTTAATATTAAAGAAACAGCAACGACTAAGTTGGATTCGATTTTCAAAGATAAACGATTAAAATCTTGGACAACGGCGATATTTTATTTATTCTAACCATAGATTCCGTTTGGACGCTAATCAGCTGTTCTAATCAGGCTTAAACATAAAAAAATCTTCAAATAAAAAAATGTTTTTCTTGCATTTTTGCTTTTTAAAGTGTGTTTCACGAGTTTTCGATATCATTATCGTGTTTGAGAGCTTTGTTAAGAGTGTAATATTCAGTATCCGTTTATTCGTTGCGCTATTATTATTTTTTAATATGTTAATCATGGAGTCCACTAACAGGACACGTCAGTAGATTGAAAAGCAGCGAGATCGGTGCAACAACGTGGTGGCAATATAAAGACTGCAAAAATAGGTTTTATTCTTCGACAAACATATAATATTTCACTCTTTGCCAAAGGATCCTGGAAAGTATTTTTATAGAAAACGTATACTGCTAAACTCTCTTTATGCTTTAAACTAAATGTAACTCCATAGATTCGAAGACTATTGGTTAGAAGCTCCCTGTAATATATTTATAAAGAAAAAAAAAAAAAAAAAAAAAAACTATTTTTTTTTTTGTAATTAACTCCACATTTGTGAGAGTTGTAGAATGGAGGGGAGAATCACCGCTACCTTATAAATCTATTGTCTGTTCTTGTATATATCTACAATTTTTCAAGTCCATATGTAAATAAATACACGTAAATAAAACACTTCTTACAATCGAGCGTTTTGGTCACTTTATCTTGTACCAAACGATATTTTAGCAAACATATTGCTATTTCATTGCTATTCCCCGCCAAAGTATTGTTTTTCTAATTAATTTATTTTATATAATATTTAGAAAACCTCATTTTTTTGTTTTCGTTTCTCATTTATTTCTTTACCCATACAGTACTATAACTATTTATAAGCTATACAAGGCATTTTTTAATAATATATTATTTTTAAGTATACAGGGTCGTTTATAAAGTCGTGGTACATTAAAATTTAAAAGGGGGACAAGCGAGACGATGTCACTCTCCCCACCACTCAAACACGAAAGGTACCGCGCGAACAGTCGTCTCTTGTCTTATCTACTCTTTGGTAAATGACTAAGTATTAACGAATGTGAACTTACCCTGTGGGATGATGCGGCGAATGCCGATGCTGGGCCTGCGGATTCACACCTCCATGTTTATGATGGTACCCTGTCACATTAGGAGGTGTAGCCTTGTATTTCCGCACACCTCCCCCTTCCCTGAACGCCTTGTAATGGTAGACGATGTCAACATCGGAAGGTGCAAAGCTGCTGGAGGTGTCGATGTTGTAGTGCTCGGCGTTCTCCAAGTTCAGGTCGTTGGACACGTGGTCGTGGGTGTGGTTGGACGAGGGAGGTAGTGGAGGGTGGTACTCGTCGCGCATTGGAGGTGATTTGGTGACGACTTCGCGTTCGATGATGTCGGGACGTTGTGGACGGGGCAATTCACCACCTTGAGAAGGTTAATTTTATTATTATATTTAAGTATCTCCTACAAAGATTTTTCACATATGCCTCTCTAAACAGTCATTTTTTTTCATAGCTACCTCATGATTTTTTGTCTTATATTTTACTATTGAATAAGAGACATACATAATATGACTCTTATACAGGGTGCGTCTTAAAATAAGTGAAAATATTTTAGGACCTCGATCTAGGATTTCGACCCCACGAACAGATCTATGAGTTTTTTTTCCGCAAAAAAGATGTTAAAAATCGTGCATTTTCTTTTAAATTTTCCTGTATATTTTAGAAAACTTTTTAGAACAGCCTGTTCACCACAAATTTGGTATAACCATGGTATAATTTCTTTATTTCTGATATTACCATGGTTATGAATTTACCCTATGGTTACGGCACTAAAAGAGATGCAAATACAGAAAAAAATCAGGTGGCTCTCAAAATTTTTTGAGAATAAATATATTTTTTTAATTTTGAAACTTGAATAAATTGGTTATTTTGGATTTATTTGACAAACGGCAAAGAGAATATACATATGTTTCTTATATCGAGATCTACCAGCCCAGCCCCGAAAAATATTTGCACTTATTTAAAAATCACCCTGTATAAATCGCAAATATCTACGCAAAACCGTTAAAATTTTATAAATACTATAAAAGTTCATTTCTTAATTCTGAATCTAAAATAAAAATAATATACATGGTGTTGTATTTAAAAAAAATTGAATATTGCTTTATAAATATTGTAATGTTGGCAACGCCATAAAAAATACCCTGAATGAGATAATGTGTGTTTTACCTCAAGGATTTATTCTGATATTTTTAGGGTATAGGAAGTTATAGATAATTATTAATAAAGTTAAATTTACTCCCATGTTTTTTACTATTTTTCAGATATACTTAAAGACCAATTGTGCTGTACCCAATTCTGTACAGAAAAATAGGGGTTTTATTTAAGATAACCTTATTATTTTATTTTTTTTATTTTTTTATTTAGGACACCCTGTATGCAGCACAATAATTTTAGGATATTCACCTTTATAAACCAAGCAATATTTATATATTTTTTTCATATCTTTATCAACAATAACGATATTGAACTTCCTCGCACTAATGGACTACCCTGTATATTTAATTGCCCATCATTTCTTTTATTCCCATTTTAAGATCATTCCCATCCAATATTCATTATTAGGAATGGATTTAATTAGTCAATTAGTAATAATACCGTAGGATTGTAAAAAAAACAGCGTCCAGTTAGCTTGGAATCGAGCATCGATGACATTTCCCATACAATTTTACATATAAAATGACAGCGATCTTCATTTCATAGCCATCGCTGACGCCATTTGTTTTTCGATCATATTGTAGGTACTTTTCAAAATACAAATAATTGATTTTTGTTCATCCTTCAATAAATTTTACCATGAAAAAATAAAAGACTATTCAATAAAGTTTGAATGAGCCAGATATACAGGGTGAGTCTTAAATAAGTGCAAATATTTTTGGGGGTGGTATATTTCGACCCAAAAAACACGTCGGTAAGGTTTTTTTCCGCGAAAAGGAAAATTAAAATTTGGAAATTTTCGAAAAAAAAATTAAATTTTTAAAAAATTTTAGTTAAAAACCATAGTATCTTGAAAATATTTGGCAACATAGATAAAGTTAAAGCCACGAATGTTTGGGAGTGATTCATCGGTCGCTACCATGTGAGCTAATCTGTTCAAGGTCACATAAAACTTAATTCCAGTGCCGTGGTGTTTCAAGTCATATAATAATCAATATATAATCTGTTGTAATTTGTTGTTTTAACCAGGGGGGTGACAGTAAACCGGAAAATTGGAAACAGTTGTGGCGCGGTTCTACCCAGGCAGAAAGCATGGCCTTCTAGACTGTCCTAGACAAAAATCTGAATATTTCTATATGATTTCTGTCAATTTCTGCTACGGAACATTTTTATGCACGTCGGCGTCCTGTTCTTTGTCTTTGTCTGTGTAAAATGCCGCCCCGAGGCCTCTGGCAAGGTCGGGCGCCATTTAATTTTTGCCAAGCTCTGATTGGAAGTTTGTTTCTGATATTTCTGGCTGAAATTTATAAGTACAAAGATGTTTTTTGATATAAAGTTCCTTGTTAACACTTTAATAAAGTATATATGATATTAATTACATGAAGAAATGATGAAATTGATGTTTCAGTAGTAGGTATGGGCCATATTATATGTAAAAATACATATTAACTGTTTTATTTTTAGCTTTAAACCCAAGGATCTTGGGAGATTCTTTTGCCAAGGATTTTTCCTGCATTCTACTTTAAAGACTGATCGGTGATTTTGAGCAACTGAAATAAGTTATAAGGTAAATTATGTGACACAGCATTATTAGCCTACATTAATTTTCTACAAGATGAACAGATATGCGTAATTACATATTACATAGGTACCTATTATGTATTTTCATAGCAATAATGCTATAAATCTATGTATGTAGATATCATTTTAAAATAAATGAGTGTATTAGATGTATATGTATTATATTTTTATTCATTTTATTTTACATTCAAGTCCTGTTTGATTTAATTCACAAAAGTCTTATGTACCTATATTTATTTCTTACATATTTTTTGATTCCAGGCTTCGTGTGTGGGTTCCGGCTGCCTTTTTCCTGCTTCCAGTTATTAATGTCCGTGAAGCTGCTGTGAAAACATTTATTTATCTTCTCAAGTTTCTGTAAGTCAATGCATTGTTATTTACTATCTGCTTTAACACAGCATTCTTGATATTATTTAAATATTTGATATTGATACAGTAGTTTATTGATTGTAGCCTTAATTGTGTTGATTTGCATATTTACATTAAATTCCAAATAAATATTTTTGAGTAATTATATTATTTACTACTAGAAAGAGTAAAAAGTATATTAACCCTCATTTAAACCTCCTGAACAGCCCGCCATTAAAACCGGAACGGAAATAAATTTATAAAATTGAAATTGTCATGTCTATGTCATGTCAATGTCCGCCGCCATATCTAAAATTAGTTACCCAGGCAGCCACGCTACCTAATTTAACATTGACTTGACACTTTTATTTATTATTTATGGTTTTAACTCTCAAAGTCTTGTCAAAACATATATTTGGTTATAAATATAAAATGGATCGCCCCATTGGTCGCACTGCAAGCACACCAATGGACTTGACGCAAACGAATCAATCAAAGAAACGCGATATAGTATCGTCTTTGTCAATCACGCTAACATTTTAGAATAAGTAGGAGGAGCGCAGGCAGATGATTAGATCGGGCCTTTAAAAACCTACGTCTGCGGTAAAAATTTACGTTTTTAATGTAAAAATGATAACGCGCGTGTCGATTCTAACTTCATCAAGCGATGAATCACTCCCAAACATTCGTGGCGTTTACTATAGTAGATTGAATTTAGAAGATGAAAACCGTTTAAAAAACTAGTGCTTTTTAAAATTTCAGCAAAAAATATTTTTTTGTCAAATTAAATTTTCAAATTAAAATAACTCGGTTATTTTGGACTTATTTGAAACACGGTAAAGAGAAAATATTTTACTTTTATCAAGATCTACCAGCCCTGAAAATGTTTGCACTTATTTAAGACTAAATACACTTTTTTTAAATGTGGATTGAACATATTACCTTGCGCAATATCTCTATCTTTGAATTTCTTTGGTAACAATTCAGGTCCAACCAAACTGTGTCCTCCGATCCCTTATCACATCCCCCCTTCAGTATGGTAACTCATCGAATTCTCCATCCCGTGTATGCTCCGGTTCAAAACACCATCATTCACGGAGTTCATACCTCCACTTCCCAAATTTGGACCTCCATTTTGTTTGGAGTGAATGCCATTGGAACTATTCGGACTACCCGACTTTTCTTTGTACTGTTTTCTCAGTCTGAAGACTACGAACGAGACTAATATGGCCACTAAGAGGACTACGAAAAAGACTATGACTAAGGTTATGCCGATGCTGAGTGGATCTTGGATTGTTGCAGATCCAACACCTGAAATAGAGAAAAAACACTGAAGATATTTTTTTTATTCCTTTTGGTGAATGGATTCACTTTTAACAGATATTTTTAGCAATTTATTCAATTAAGATCCTTATAATTCCCTTGATATATAATTAACTGTTACAGTAAACGTCGGAAATCAGTGACTGTTAACAATTACTAGTAAAAGCTCACATTCACTGATTTGCTAGACTACGGCAGTAAAAGTTCAACAGCTATTTTTGATTTTTACCAGTGACTGCTAGCATTCCCTGGACGACAGCAGTGAGTTTGAAAGAATCAATTAGCACGGTTGCCACATGTTGTAAAATATATGGATAAATAAGGATAAGTTGAATAATAGGCAATATAAGGATAACATTAAATTGGGCTAAACGTTGGCAACGTTGACAGACATCTGGCGTAAATTCACTGCGTTTTTGGTATTTTAGTTATGTATAATTGTTTTGTTATCGTTGTAAACAGTGGTGTGCAGTATTTTCCCTACGGAAGAAATTTTCTGTGAAAAATTAAGGTAAACGCAAGAATGAAACAGTGCTTGTTTTTCATTTTTTTTAATATAATGAAGTCATAGTAAAAGTTAGGCGTGCAAGAAAAAAGATATTAAGGAACCTAGTGACTATAAACGTTTTAATATGCTTGAAGGGTTTGAAAAAACGAATAACTCCCATTGAAGAAAATTCCGGCATAATTTTATTTTGTCCACGATGAAGAACTTTATTAAAAAACCTTGTACCGATAAGTAATCTTATGTTTATGAATGTTTTTTTTTGTTTTACTATGTTTTCCCATTTAATATTTAGAAGGTTATATCGTTATTTTCTATCATTTTTAATAAATATACTAAAAAAGTAAATAATTTTAAGATAATACGTGGATCAGCTTGAATATTGAGGTGATCCAATATTCTATTTGTTCTAACTTCCACCAACATTCTTCCTCTCCACACTCGTCCTGTACAATAGAATAACTTTTACTGGCAACTTTTAGTAAATATAATGTTACTTTCACTATAGTGAATGTTAAAAATTACTAAGAAAAGTCGATAAATATCTTTAAAATACAATTTTACTGGTCCAATGCGTAATTACTAGCATTTCCTAGTGAGTGTTAACAATCACTGAATTTCTGACTTTCACTGTAACATAATTATTCTTTTATAAAAACAATATGGCGGAACAAAATTCGTAATAATTTAAAAAATAATCACAGATATAACATACGTTCAGTTACTTTTACTTACCCAAAAGTCCACTGCAACCTTGTAGAACCTTTCCTTTCATAAAAGCTTCAGAAAAGATCGATCCTGACCCGTTAAAAGGCTGTATCTCCCTATTCACAGTAAAATTTGACAGGCATCCTTCAAAATACTCGGGAAAACTGTTATTGACATAGTAAAATCCTCGTTGGACACCTCCAATGGACAGATAAGTCAAATACGGGTCCAGAAAATCATGGACTCCTGCCGAATCCAACTCTTCACCCAATCGGTTGTTGTCCAAAAGCACTTGGTGGCTTCTGGACTTCATGTGAAGTGTGAGGTTATGCCAGAGACCGTCCGTTACTGTACGATGTGAATCAGTCATGTTCACAACAGTTGATGTTTTGCTGCTGTAAACTATTTGGCCATTGATCAGTTCCACTGAGGTGTAATGCTTGTTTGAAGTGGCATAAAAGAGTATTCCGTTCAGTTTTGCTGTTCGGAATAGTATACTGATGCTCTTGTCCGGAGCTGAGAATGGTTTTAAGGGTGTGGTTGATCGGATGCTTCTTCTTTTGTCCCAGAGGGTCGTTCCTAGGTAGATATTGTCAAGGAGTTGCATTCTTTTATGTTTCTTGGTTATGGAGTATTCTATGAAACCTCCATCGCTTAAGGTAACTGGGGATAAAGCATTCTGGCAATTGGGTGCTAGGAGGTTGTTGCCACAGTTGCAGATGTTGTGTTTCCATCTATCAACGCATATACCAAAACCTATTAAAAAAAACAGAATAAAAAAAAAAATTCAGCATCTACAAAATAAAAGAATTATCTTTAAATATCACACTGATGAATCCCAACGGAAACCAGCTTGTTAGTGTATTTTTACTAATAAAACAAATAAAACTGACAAAAAATGCTAAAGGTTTCAGTAGGTATATCTCCTCCATAGTACTGGATAAACCACACCACAATTTTCAAAGCTGAGTAATACAGGGTGCTTTGAACTGTATTCCGGAAACTTCCGCAGCATATTCTGCAGATAAAAATAAGTAAAAATGGTCGTATAAATGTATGTCCTAAAATGCTTAGTTTCGGAGATACAGGGTGTAGAAGTTTTATTTCAATTTCGATTTTTTCCAAATAATTTCTGAACTACAAAAACTGGTGTCTAGGATTTCTCTGACATGAGAAATTTCATTTTGATGTCAATATAACCCCTACTTGCAGAGGGCGCCACCTACATATATTTTAACTCGTTTGAGGAGTAATAACTTTCTGTCCGTACCTGTATAAAACTACTGAGTAAAAAAATATACTTTTACGACGTTTTTTACATAAAAAATAGCGAGTAATGGTTCTCGAAATATTTGGTATCGAAATTTTCAATACCTGTCATCATTGACATGAATTAAACATGTTGACTAAATAGTTATTAGACTGATCTCATAAATTTGACATAATTTTTTGTCAAAAGTTCAACAGAAACTGCTTTATCATCATTTTTTCGAAGAAAAATTTATGATTACTTTAAAACAATAAAAAGTTTCTAAACTTATCATTTCAGTTGAATAACTATCTACTCAACATGTTTATTTTTTGTCAATAATGACATGTATTGACTATTTCCATTCTAAATATCTTGATAACGTAGTGACTTTTAGCAAGGGACATTTTTTAAGTAAAAATTTACGGAAATGTACATTTTTTCACTCAGTACTTTTATACAGGTAGGGACGAGAAGTTATTACTCTTCAAAACAGTTAAAGCACATGTAGGTGATGCCCCCTACAAATAGGAGTCATATTGACATCAAAATCAAATTTCTCTTGTTAATAAACTTCCGGACACCAATTTTCATCTAAATATTGACCTTACTTCAGAAATTATTTGGAAAAAATCGAAATAAAAATGAAACTTCTACACCCTGAGTACATCTCCGAAACTAAGCAATTTAGGACATACATTTATACGAACTGTTTTAGGTATTTTTATCTGTAGAATATGCTGCCAAAGTTTCCGGAATACAGTTCGGACCACCCTGAATGCTATTGAAACCTGTGTGCCTCTGCTGGTAGAGCAGGAATATACCGGGAAAACGAAAAACATATTTTCTGATTGAAGCAACGAATTGACGATTTTTTATTGTAAGAAACTACCCAACTTACTGGGAAATAGGAACAAACACAGGAAGACAGGAACATCAAAACGCAGAACAAAAGAACTCCTAAATGTTGTAAGAAATGGTGCGCGTATGCTCACTGCATTTATGTATTTCTCTTTTTTGCCACTGACAAATTGGTTTCCGTTTGAGTAGAAATAGTTTCCGAAAGAAATAGAATAAATATTTAATACTATGCTGAAAATAAGAAGAAATACCTCCACAAGGGTCATAAGATGTTCCAGTTTTGCTGCAGGATGAACTTCTGGTGCATTTGTTTTCGATGCCTTCTGATTGAATGGGACTGCTGAGGTTTAACTGACGACCATTGATGGAGACGCTGTGAACACAACCTACGAAATCGTCGGAGTGAATTTGTCCTGGCCTTTCCAGAACTGGATCTGGACTGTTCAGACCGCCTATCAGAAGAGGCTGGTTGTTGAAGTTCAGTGTTCTGGAAATAAAGATCATTCAATGAAGAAAATCCAACTTGGGTTAACTTTTTCATAGTAATTATACGGTAATCGCAAAACATTTCCCAATGTACGTCATCAATCATATCGAAATTGGCATTAAAGCAAAAATGTTTAAATTTGTTGTACGAGCCCTAACAACTATATGTTGGGACAAGGTCATATTTTGGAATTATTGCCCTGGTTTTTCAAAATGACTGAAAAATATATGTTTAATTTTTTAAATATAAAAATAGCCATATATCCTAAACAACTTGACAATATTTTTATGAATTTGTAAATCAATCCATATTTACAGTAGCGGATTTTGTTCATAAAAGGACAAATTTGCTGACAACTAAATGTTGGGACAAGTATTTTTAAATAATTAATATCATCATAGGCGGCTTTGCTATAAATGTCACAAATGTCGCAAACTGTTTACTTCAGCATTGACAGCCTGTAAGTGACTCGAAACTTTGAGTAGTGAGATTTACTGTAAGTAATTTTAATTTTTTTAATGTTCAATTTTGTTAATTATTTAATTCAATGTAATGATCCGTGGAAAAGTTACAAATCATTATTATTATATATTATTATCATTCGTCAATACAGTACGGGAAAAACAATTCGAAAGTATTATTCCAAAAACCAAACCACGGTCTTTAATATAATAAAAAAAATACGGCGAATCTGCCAATGTAGACGTTAGAGGTAAAAGTTCGGGAAGGCCAAAAGTTGTATCTCAGAGAGATTTACGAAATTTAGTAAAAGTTTGCAAGTCTGCGAGAAGTACTCTTCGCGAAGTAACAGTTAAATGGAATACTGTAACTGGTTTAAATATATCAAGAGAATGTTGCCGAAAATCTATCCATAAATGAGGTCTGGGGTTTTACAAGGTAAACTTTATTTTGTGTGGATAATCAATTACCTGCAGATTATTGATACAAATTCTTATTTAGGCCAAAGAAAAACCGCTACTGACAGAAATTCAAAAGAAAAATCGTTACAATTGGGCAAAATCTAAATTATCGTGAACACAAAATGATTGGAATAAGGTCATATTTAGCGATGAGTCTAAATTTGATGTTTGTGTTGGAGATCATCGAAAACGAATAATTCGAAATAAAACAGAAGCCTTTCATAAAGATTGCTTAAAGAGGGTTGTTAAATTTCCTAAGAGGATTATGGTTTGGGATTGCATGTCAGCAAGAGGTTTGGGCAAATTAAATTTTATAGGTGGCACTGTTAACGCCCAAAAATATCAATATATACTTGAGACCTCACTTTTGCCTAGTGCTCAAGAATTGTTTCCAAACGAAGACTATATTTTCCAACAAGATGGAACATCGTGCCATTTAGCAAAATCAACTAAAAATTGGTTCGGTAATAATAATATAAAAGTTCTATCCGATCCTACAAGTAGTCCGGACCTCAATGTTATAGAAACTGTGTGGCTTAAGATGAAGCAATATTTAAGAAACCACCTTCAACGAACAATTTTTGATTTGCGGACAAAACTGCAGGAAATTTGGGATAATTTTTCTCCTCAAATGTGCCAATCTTTGGTAAATACAATGCCATTAAGAGTTCAGGCAGTTGTTAAGGCGAAAGGTGATGTAACTCCGTATTAAACAAATTTCTTGTTGTGTTGTCCCAATATATAGTTGTCAGCAAATTTGGCTTGATTTTGGCAAAATAAGCTATTATCAAAAGTGATTTGTCTGCAAAGTTATAAAAATATAGTAAAATTGTCTAGATCATATTGTAATATTTGAATTTAGAATAATAAACAAAATAAATTCAGTCGTTTTAAAAAAAAAATACTACTTTTATTGCAAAAAGGCCTTGTTCCAACATATAGTTGTTAGGGCTCGTATAATTTAAGATACCGAGTAGCTCTTCATTTTACTTTATAGAGCGAATGATTGTAACAGATATTTTATTTAGATTAAAGCCGCAAAAATTAGTTTAAAGTGATTTTTACAATTGCCATGTTGGTCAGTCACATTGCGCCGCGATCATCAACGTTGTCGTTTATTATTTGACAATTATTATCATAATGTCAGTCATTATTTTGTATAATGTCTTGTTGTTAAATCTTTGAGAGTAATTCTCGTTTTTTTTTGCCGATTTTCATAGTCTTTTTTTTTTAAATTGTACTTTTAAGCACAAACAGTTCTTTTAAAAACTAAATTTTCGAGTTTTTGTATTGCATTCCTTGAAATTGTGTGTTGAAAATATGCCGAAGCATTTAAACATTCGGAGCAAGGAGCTTTGTAGCTTTCCTGAAAAACTATTTTGAACGAAAACGTAATAATATAAGTCTTTTATTACCCTTGACTACAGTCAGAGAAGTAAGTTTGATTGGTAAGCATTATATTATTATACCACTTTCAAAGTTATTTCTACTTATTTCGATTTGCAGCGAGTAGCTGCTGCCTTATTAAATTAAAAATAAAACGTAAAAACCCTTAAAAAATATAATAAATAATATTGTTTCCCAATTTTACATTAAGATTCATCTCATAAATCCATCACAATCTGGCAGCGCTGGCGCCATCGCTTGTCACGCAAAATTGATCACGCGCATCCTTTGAATAAGAAGACTAAGGAAGGAGCATAATGCTATCCATGTATTCATGCATGGTGGGCGGAAAAAGCACCATAAAAGCACTCTAGGGTGGGGATCCTTGACAGTTCTGTTTGGCGATTCATTTGACACATTTGAATTTGATTTGAAATTTTGTGGATTTGTCAGTCTTTACGGAGCTTATTTTATGTTATTTATTATTTATTCTACTACTGGTAGTTGTATAAAGGTAGTAAATCTAGATGGAAATTGTGGCAGAACTTAAATTAACAGTGACACTATCGCGATTTATCGAAAAAGACTCTAAAATAGTTGGTTGTGTAGCGTGCGGTAGATCTCGGGAAAAATTGAGAGAAATAATGGAACAACTTTTCGCTAGTAAGTGACTATATAATATACATACGTGTAGTAAACCGATCATTTATGAAATTCACTTAAATTAACTAAATTATATATTTTTCTTGCATTTTAGCTTTTATTTATTACTTGTCAAAGATTAGATGTCAAAGAATTTAGATACGTTAATTTGACTTACCTGCTTCAGTAGCGTATCGGATGTTTGTTAATTAATACTTATTATAACTTATTAGAACTATATATTTTTATAACAATTTTAATAACTACCAACATTTATTCACAACGTAAAATAAAACAACAAATTATTGAGTCTACCCCACGTCTACCCTACATCATAGTTTTACATTTTTTAAATAAAATTAGAACGACACTGATAAACCGGAATTTAAGTCGGCCATATTTGAGGCCCTTCGCGGTGTACCTAAGATTTTTGATATGCTCCTTCCTTAGTCTTCTTATTCAAAGCGCGCATCGGAATTTTTTTTGCGATTACTTTAGAATAAAATTCCAAAAATTATAAATATATTTAAAAGTTAATACTTCTACTTACCCAGTATCTCCACTATTTTCTGTATAACAATTACTATCAGTGGGCCTGCAATCTTCACACACATCTCCATTATCATTACAACTTCCCACGTTCAAAGAAATAACCTTCCCATTCCTCGTCGCCGTGATCTTGTACCAATTTCCATCAGCCAAATTATCGCTAGTCTTCGCCATGGCACTGATGGAGGTTATCGCAGTTCGAGCCCCTCCAAAACTGAACACTACCCGCCCCTTCACAAGCTCGATAGCCACGAAATCACTCCTACCCAAAGTCTGAACGCCATAGTTATAAACTAGCAGTGAATCCTTCTTTGTAGTGGCGAATATAAAGGAAATATCGTTTGTAGTGGCATCCAGAGATGGGAACGTCATATAAGACAGTTCGAGGAATCCAAAGGTTGATTTCTCGCAATGTCTTCCGTATCGACCTTCGGTACAACTGCATTTGTATCCAGGTTTCAAATTGACACAAAGACCTCCATGTAGACATGGATTGGGCCTACAAGAATCTGCCAGTGCTTCACACTGATTTCCTCTGTATCCTGACCGACATAAACAGAAGAAACTGGAACCATCAGGACTTTCTTTGCAGGTACCACCATTCTGACAAGGATTTTCCGAACAAACATCACCTCTTTCCATCTCACAGTTCTTTCCATCCTTACTGTGAGGACAAACGCATTGATAATTGAACCCTTGTCTCCTGCATTGACCGTTGTTCTTGCAAGGGTTTGGTAAACAAGGATCTTGACGTTTGTTGCATGTAGTTCCGGTAAAACCTTCAGCACATTGACAGTTGTACTCGTGGACGACTAAGGGTGATGTATAGATCAAATTTTGACTGTCTGTGATTCTGGTTGAGCGTTTTACAGTAAGGTATTCCGTGCATATACCTCCATTTTCACAGGTATCGTCACTACAAGGACTGTACCCGATAAAAATATTGTCTGTTTGGAACAAACTAGACAGAACTTTCTTCTGAAGTTTTTCTTTAGTGTAAAATTTACTTTTGTATACTGTTCCCTGTTTCACAGCCATTGTTATCTCCAAACCTTGTTCTCCTTCATACAGACTGTACAAAATTAATGTCTCCTCCCTTCCAAGAACGTTTTTGATAGTTTCCAAAAACCCTGCATAGTTGTGGGTTAAGAAATTTGCAGCCGATAAGTTTCTAACCAAGAGGGTAACTGAATTTTCGACTGTAGCATTATCGAAAGGAATAAACTCTACCGTAACTGTAGATACAACAGCTTTATGCTTGCCATCGTGTCCAGATACAGAAAGAGAATGCCCTAGACCTGGTGTAGCTCTGGAAGCGTGCAAGTCACAAGCGTACGGTATAGATAAAATGTTTGACGCTGCAGATTTCTGGATAATTTTGCAACGGTAGTCTCCAGTGAGGTCTGGATCGTTCGGATGGACGTTTGCGATGTTGCCAACTGGGAATTCGCTGTTGAATGTATAGACAACAACGTGAACTGAACGGGGCGTTGAATCGGAGTCGTTTTCATCCAAAACTATGACGGTGACTGAATGTTGGCTTTTCATTTTTGGAGTTCCACTGTCTTCAACTTCAACAACGATGTTTAGTTCTGGAGTAATCTCTCTGTCTATGCTTCTGGTTGTTACGACAACTCCGGTATGTTTGTCTATCTTCACGTATTCTTTATGTTTTCCTCCAACAAGTTTGTAAGTGAATGGAGCACCGTTTGGAGGTAGATCTGGGTCTTTAGCACTTAAGGTCATGATCTTGGTAAAGGCTGGCTCGTTTTCTAGAACTCTTCCGACAACTTGAGGAGGATCAAATATTGGACCGTTATCATTCACATCAAGTATGTTAACTTTGACTGTAGTAGTGCCAGTTTGTGGTGGTAAACCTGTGTCAATAGCTCCCATAGTTAAAGAATACATTGCTATTGTTTCCCTGTCTAACTCCCTTGTTGTTTGTATGTCTCCTGTCTGAGGATCTACCTTAAAGGTTTGATCAATATTTCCACCAATTATCGAGTAACTAAACTGGTTGTTCTGGTATCTTACATCTTTATCCACGGCCTTTACTGTGGTTATTTTACTACCAATAGCTGCAGCTTCAGATATCTCAGCTTCATATAAGTTCTGTACAAACTCAGGAGGATCATTACCATCTTGAACTGTTATAATTACATGAGCCTCATCAGTATCATTTCCTCTGATACCTCCGGCGTTTTTGGCCATCACAGTGAGCAAAATCCTACTCTGAGTTTCTCTATCTAAATTCCTTGATACACTTATTGCACCTGTCTCGCTGTTAATACTAAAACCTCTGTCATTACTTGATCCAACTAGAAGATAATATACTTTTCCGTCATCTCCAGAATCCTGATCTGTTGCCTGCACTGTACCGATCTTCGTACCAATCTCAGTCGATTCGGAAACATCGAAATGGAACCCAGATCTAACAAACTTAGGGTAGTACTCATTAACCCCGGTTATATGGACACGAACTTCAGTTTGACCGAACATACTGGAGTCTGGATTGGCTGCCATGACGTTGAGGACATACAAAGTCTTCTCTTCGTAATCAAATGAGTATTTTGATGTAATTTTTCCGGATTTTTGATCGATGTTAAAGAAATCTTTATCAGGACCTTCAGTTATCGAGTACAGGATTATAGCGTTCTTTGGTGAGTCTATGTCTGTTGCGATAACTTGGTAAACTAAGGTATCAGGAGGTTTGTTTTCTGACAGGTATGCATCGTAGTAAGATTGGTTGAACGTAGGGCTGTTGTCGTTTATGTCTGTCAAAATTATCGCCAACATAGCTGTAGCTTTCTTGGGTTTGAACCCTAAGTCCTTTGCTGTAATGTTTAAATGATATGCTTGGATACTATCGTAGTCTAGAGGTTGTAGGATTGTGACTGCTCCAGTTACTCGGTCAATACTAAAGTCTTTTCTTTCGTTTCCTGCAGATATATCGAAACGGATCATACCGTTTGGACCATTGTCTCTGTCTGAGGCGTTTACTATCAGAATGGTTGAACCAAGAGGTTCGTTTTCGGGTACTATAACTTGGTAGCTCAAGGCGTCGAAGACTGGAGAGAACTTGTTTTCTCCTGTCACTATTATGGTGACAGTACATTCGTCCATTTGAGGTGGGATGCCTTTGTCGATGGCTTGAATACGGAGGGTGTAAATAACTCCAACATCGTGTACCTGGAAGAAGAAAAGTGGTAGTAAATTTGAGTCTCGACAATTGTCTCGAAAATGTCACGCCAATTCAATTGTCGACGCGCCAACTATGGTGTCGTTGTCAATGTTGACAACTAATAATTTGGTACAAAATTTTCCCTACAAATTCCATTATTGTTACTTTAATTTTGTGTTTCGCGAATGTGGCGTGATTTTAATTGTATTTGTGTAAGTTTTTATTTATTATTTATTTAGGTTCTTTCCTGTTAGGTCTTATGATACTCGTATGAGCGAAACACGTATCACATAATTTAGTTTTTATTTTATCACATAATTATTATAAACGTATGAAACTTTGAGTCTTTTTTCTTCTTTTTTAATTTAAACCAAAATTATTCCTATAGTTATATGATTAAAACTTAAAACTATAGAATAAACATCTATTAAAAACATAGAACATTCTGAGCTAAGGATAAGATATAATAAAATTATTCTTCTACTTCGCTGAGTGACATAAATGCTGAATCAGAATCAGAATCGAAAGATTCCTTTCAGTATTCTCACTTTGGAGGTCGAAACTACGAAATAATATACATGTACTGATTTCTTTCGAAAATCGACGACTATAAAACTATGATCCCTTCCCCGACACAAAGGGTACATTGTGAGACAGGAAATTGTAGAGAGAAACAAGCCCTATAACATAGGGTACAACATTTTAATGAACAGTGCTTTCCATAAAATCAATAATAAATGAAAAATATACGAAATAATAAAGATGTACTGATTTCTTTCGAAAATCGACAACTATGAAACTATGAACCCTTCCCGGACACAAACGGTACATTGTGAAACAGGAAATTGTAGAGAGAAACAAGTCCAATAACGTAGGATAGAACATTTTAATGAACAGTGCTTTCCATAAAATCAATAAAATGAAAAATATACGAAATAATATACATGTACTGATTTCTTTCGAAAATCGACAACTATGAAACTATGAGCCCTTCCCGGACACAAAAGGCACATTGTGAAACAGGAAATTGTAGAGAGAAACAAGCCCTATAACATAGGGTACAACATTTTAATGAACAGTGTTTTCCATAGAATCAATAAAATGAAAAATATAAAAAATAATATACATGTACTGCTTTCTTTCGAAAATCGACAACTATGAAACTATGAATCCTTCCCGGACACAAAAGGTACATTGTGAAACAGGAAATTGTATAGAGAAACAAGCCCTATAACATAGGGTACAACATTTTAATGAACAGTGCATTCCATAGAATCAATAAAATGAAAAATATACGAAATAATATACATGTACTGATTTCTTTCGAAAATCGACAACTGTGAAACTATGAACCCTTTCCGGACACAAACGGTACATTGTGAAAGAGGGAATTGTAGAGAGAAGTGGAATAACATTTTTGAATGTTCAAATGACATGCAAAGAGGTATGTGTATCCCCAATTAATCAGAATAATAGCTAAGTCAAGTAATAAAAACTTGTTTACCTCTTTTTATAAAAAAATGTTGCAAAAGATTCGTAAAATTCTGTTGTTAAAGTTTTTAATAATTTTCTCTGGAGGTAGATTAAAATAACACTTACTTTTTCCCTCAAAGATATCCATCCACTGTCCTTATCAATAACAAAATAACTGGAACTATTGCCTCCAGAAATATTGTACTCAATTTCAGCATTGACTCCAGCATCGAACTCATCTTTAGCCACGACTTTAACCAGCTGTTGTCCAGGGAAAGCATCTTCAGGAACCGGTGACAGGTATTCCTGCTGTTCGAATTTGGGAGCGTTGTTGTTTGCGTCTACCACGTTGATGGTCACCATGCATTCAGAAGACATGGGAGGTTTACCATTATCAGTAGCCAGGATTGTTAAGGAGTAGGTGTTTTCTGGAGAAGATTCCATCTGGGTGTATTTGTATCTAAACGTGATAAAGTTTAATGTTAATACATAGTCTGGTTTTGTACGGTGCAACCAACAATGATTGAAATAGTTGCCAATAGTGTGCTAGAGGATTTTAAGATTAGTTATTATTATAATTTATTTTGTTTTTTTACATATTTTGAAATTTTTTAAAAAATCATACAGGGTGTTCCAAAAAGTTGGGTAATTGATTAACCACGATTCTGATGCTTAAACTGCTTGACGAAAAAACCTTAATTTTGGCAAACGGATTTTTCGAAAGTCAAATTCTAACGAGATGAAACTACCCCTCAAATATTACCAAGTTATATAATAATATCGCACATATTGTTTTTTATCATGCTGGCATAAATATGAGAAAATCTTATCCAGTTTGTATGTTAATAGAAATTCTTGCTTTGCTTTATCATCACCATTACAAATGATTAATTTGACGCGAACAAAGTCGCGGGTACACGCTAGTATAATCATAATATCTTAATGTCACATAATATGGTATTACCTGATGCTCTGTTTGCTGAAAATCTCCCCCGAAGCTGGATCCACAGTAAACAAATCAGAAGGCTGTTGCAACGAGTAGCTGATCACTGAATTAGGCCCTTGCTTATCCCTGTCTGTAGCTATGACCTGTCCAACGAACACCACATCCCTCTGGAGCTCTGGAAAGTTGAAACTATAGTAGGAATGCTCAAATTCTGGAGCGTTGTCGTTCTGATCCTGGATAGTGATGGTCATGGCTGTTTCTGATCTCCATGCTCCATCAACTGCGGATACTTTGAGGAGGTATTCGTCTTGTTGTTCTCTATCCAGGTAACCTAAAAAAGGAAGACTTTAATTAATATAAATATTTTTTTTGCCTTTATTGTCAAAAATTTTTACAATTTGTAGACAAAGGTAAAGTAAACAAACAAAAGAGAATACAAAACAAGTATACAAATTACAATGTTAGTCTTATTGTTTAAAATAAACATTTATAAATGTTTACAATGTCAAAGAATAAAAAAATAAAAATAAGATTCCAAAATATTTAGTAAGTTTATAGTAAACATAGCGAGGGGTGTTTCACTCGGGTAAAAAATGTACACGTACTGCCAAAATATTCTTCCACTGCTAAGCGACTGCCAATGACTATGAAGAAGACTGCCTATGACTGCCATATAATTATTATAGGCGACTGCCATAAGACTGCCAATGACTGCCAGCGACTGCCAAGAAAATGTACATGTAATTCCAATAGTGAGACACCCCTCGAAATATAGTAATAGCAAATATTAGACCAGTGTTTACAAGATCAAATTCGATTATCAAAATATAAGTCATTTACGGCGTAGAAAGCCTCGTCTAGTAAATAAGATTTCAATGCTTTGAAAAATAAAGAAAATGATATTATGGATTTGATTTCAAATGGCAGGTGATTGTGCTTTTTTTTCGAGTTGTATAATATTGAACTTTTAACTAACTCTGAGCGTGGGGTAGGTAGATAAAGATCTTGCTCCGCGTTTCTGAGTGGATAAGTGTGAGATGGCCTTTCTTGAGAAGCTGATACATGCCTACGTATTAGGCAAACAGATTCAAATATAAATAAGGAAGGAAGAGTTAATATTTTTAATTTTTTAAAAAGTCCTGGCAATGAGTTCTGCTGTTTAGTCCCAGTGAATATCGAACAGCTCTCTTCTGGAGTTCGAAAATGCGGTCAAATTGAGCCGCACAACACGTACCCCAGAATGGAAGGGCATACCTGAGGTGCGATTCAAAAAGTGCATGATAAACAGTTCTAGCCACTGACAAGTTAAGCCCCTTAGAAACAGATCTTAATGCAAAACAGGCAGAGGTTAATTTTTTCAACAAAGCGTCGATATGCATGCAACTTCAACTTACCTACAACTGTTACATTTCCGCTTACTGGATCAATCTTAAACTTATCTCCAGGATTTTCGGTAAAACTGTAAGTTGCCTTGGCATTATCACCGATATCCTGATCAGAGCTAGTGACCCTGATCACGAAAGAACCAATTTCGGCATTTTCCGTGACGTTCACACTAAAAAGCCTGGTGAATCGTGGAGGGTTGTCGTTTTTATCCAGAACTGTCACCAGAACTGTGGCTGTTCCAGATAGTTGTGGCTGACCCTAAAGAATTTTTTTATTTTCTATTTAAAAGAATTTTTTGCAAATATAATTGATTCATACCTGGTCTACAGCAATGACGGTAAGTTCATAGTTAGCTATATCTTCTCTGTCTAATCTTGCCTGGGTATAAATCTCGCCACTGCTAGAATCTATTTCAAAAGATCCATCAAAATCATCCAAGAGTTTGTAGGTGATGACGCCATTTTCTTTTGAGTCTAGATCGGTTGCTGTTACTTGTGCTACAAGCAAGGGTGGTGTTTCTTCTTCCATAATCTTTAAAGAAGGAGGAATAAGCAAGAGTGTACTGAAAAACGGGATGTGTTGTTCCAACTTCCAGTGGATGACGTACCAAGAATATATAACAATACTCAATGTAGTATTGAGCAATAAAAAAAATGGCGCCGGGAGGCACGTATAGCAGCCCATTCTAAAATATGTTAATAAAAAGTTGGTAGGCAGTTCTTTTAGTTACAAAGTAAAGGAATTTTTCCAATTTTTTTTATCTCAAAAACTGCGACTTTGACTGATTTTGATGTTATTACAAATTTTGTTGCAAATATTATTCCTAATCTTAAATTGAAAACCGCGTTTCGCTAGCTACTGTAATTTTGGAGTTACGATTTTTTAACATTTTTAACCCCCTCCCATACCCCCTTACCAACCCCCCACCCCCACCAAAAACTAATGGCCAGATTCTCGGGTGCCACAGTATTTTTGTGCCAAATTTGGTTAAAATCGGTTTAGCGGTTTTTGAGTTATCATGTTACAGACGGACAGACAGACACCATGAAAATATTTTGTATTTAGGTCATTTATGACCCAAATAAGTTTCCTCATTTAGAGTGAAATTAAAAAAACTTTTTTTTGTCGATCTTAATAGCCTACCATACCTGTTGGTATGGTCGGCAAAAAATTAAAAACCCTATCTAGGTTCACTTATCTCGTTATTATTCTTGGATACAATCGGATGTTTCATTTCATTCATCAACGGTATAGAAACTTCAAGCCTTTGAACTCTTGGCCGTACGAGAGAATCCTGAAAATACCTTGGACGGACAAGGTCACAAACAGCGAGGTCCCGAGACGAAAAAAATAACCCCAGAGCTTGTCAATACCGTCAAATGTCGTAAGCTGCAATATCTAGGCTACGTGATGAGGACCCAAGGGTATGAGCTGCTCCAGTGCCTCCTCCAAGGGAAGATACAGGGAAAACGACGTTCAGGACGCAGAAGAATGTCCTGGTTCGCGAACCTCAGATCCCCGATCGAAAAGACGTCCACTCAGCTTTTCCGGATAGCGGACCGGTCTTCAAGAAGAAGATGAAGACAGAATATATTTTAACTTACCGAAGCGTTGTAGAGTTGATTTTTCATTACTGGAGGATTGTCGTTGTAGTCCGTAACGTTAATGGTTAGTCTTAAGACACTGCGCAACGGTGGAATGTCGCTGTCTTGCGCCTCAATCCACACTTCGTACGTTTTTGCCGTTTCGTAATCCAGACCCTTGCCGGAAACCTGGATTTCTCCGGAGTTTTTATCGATTTTGAGCGAATCGCCAACATTACCTCCTGCAAATAACATTTTTTCTTAGGAAAAAAAGCTTATTGATCTTAGCTATTCTATTTATTTGGTAGAGGTACTTAAGGTTTAAATTTCTGACCATAGTCAGAAATTTAACATCGTAACTGACCCTAAATTAACAGATAATATTTTTAAGAAATAAAATGGCATCTTTTTTAAAAACTAAAAAAAAACTAAAACTAAATTTGAACGTAGTCCTCATCTGCTGATTTCTTCCACCTGATGCCATAATTTCCTGAATTATCAACACTAAACACAAATTTCAAATAATACAAAATAATTTCAAAAAAACAACTTTTCACTTAGATAGACAATACAAACCTGCTATGGAATATTTTACATCACCGCTTGGTCCCTTCTTAGGTGAGCTGGCCTTCAACCTGGCAAATACTTTACCATCCTCCACATTTTCCGGCAATATAAAGTGTGTCTTTCCCGGAGTGTTCCATCTTGGAAACAAATCATCCGATTTCAAATATACCTACAAAAAAAAATCATGTTAATATCATAAGTTTGATATGTTTTTCCTTTGAAAATATACTTTTAATTCTGTGCTTGCTGTTCGCGAAGGACTTCCACCATCTTTGGCTTCAATTTCCAAGTTAAAAACCTTGGTGGATGATCTCTGTAGGTCGTAGAGTGCCCTGATCACTCCTGTGTCTTGATCAATGGTGAAATTATAGGCGTGTTCTCCTGTGAGGATGTAAGTAATTTTGCTGTTCAGTCCTGAGTCGGAATCGGTAGCTTGAGCTCCGAAAACAAATTCTGATGCCTTGGTATGATCAGAAATATATATCTGAAACAGATTTATTTCTCAATGATATCTTTTTAAGGTTCTATTAATAAAATTATAAGTTTAAATTAAATTTAGAAGAAAGAAACCCTAGAATAGATCCAGTGGTTTTCAAAAATTAAGTGATAAATCAATTTTTTTTAAATTTTTAAAGTAAAATATCTCGGGTATTTTGGACTTATTTTAAAAAGAGTAATATAAGATAAGGTATGTTTCTTTGATCGAGATCTACCAGCCCTGAAAATATTTGAACTTATTTAAGACCCACCCTGTATATTAATTGTACTGATATGTGAACTAAATATCTCACCTCGTATCTAGGCATGGAAAATATAGGCGAATTGTCATTTTCGTCAAGGACAGTGATGGTTAGATTGACAGCTGTGGCTCGAGGTTCAGTAGCAGAACAATCCTGAGCTATCAGAGTTAAGAAGTACGAGTCTGTTTCTTCCCTGTCCAATATCTCGTTGGTGGTGATAACTCCAGTGTTCTGGTCAACTATAAAACCTAAACACATATCAAAACAATTAGTTACAAAGTATCATTTTCATATATACAAAAAAGTACAAGTAGCCATTTTATATTATTGATGTTAAAAGTAATTTACTTTTATGATACTAAAATAAATAAAAATATGATGCGGAATATCCAACTAGCAAGGCAAGGATCATTGGAATCCCATCTTAATCCAGAGCCAGTATTGGAAGTAGGCAGATGTAAAACCCATAGTGCAGTAAAACTCTGGATACGGGAAAAGCAGATAGTCCACTGGAGAAAGAGACAGGCATAGCAAGGACCTAGTTCTAAGACTACAAATAGAATAACATGCCTCTACAACATGTCTCTTGGCAGGCCATACACTGATAAAAAAGATAGACTTGAACTAAAGTCGTCATCGTTCTTGAAAAAAAAAAAAATTAGTGGCAAGAGAATTTATTTTAGCGTAAAAGAAAATATTTTGCCTGAAGAAAAACTCTCTTAAGTCAAGAAAACTGGTTCTCTTGAAAAATTCGAAAATTTCTCTTGAATCTATTTTCATTCAACCAAGTGCAAGTTACTTTGTTTTGAGATAATAAGAAAAATACGCTAGAAAGTACTTCATTTAAGAAACATGGTCATTTTTCCAATAGCTAAATACTCTTTTGATGAAAAATAATAACGACACGCAAAGACGATGACGAAGGACGGTATATACAATCAGTCGGCAGTCCGATCAGTCGTACGTCGCATTTCATAGGTCGCACATCATAGTACGCACGGGTTTTGTTGCTTGGAATTTTCCACTTGGAATTTTGCATAATTTGCTTTTTAAACGCATATCGTATAACAAATTAGTGATTGGTATTAACATGCATTTGTCATTTTTTATGGACAAATTTTAGGATATATGGATTCTTTAAAGGAGTTTCTGAAAAAATAGAAATTATAGAGCATTTATTTGCTATATTTGAAGGTAAGAGACAGTTACCTAATGCACCTGTTTAGATAATTCATGTGTGACTATAGATAGAATAAGAATATAGGTATCGATTTTTTTATGCAAATAATTACAAAAATTTTAGAATTTCAAGTCGTCGTATTAAAAAATTCAAAATGTGACCAAAGCTTATAATTTTAATAACTTATTTGCTTTACTTTGATTAATCGTGATGTAACATTTCTTTGTAATTTGTAGAGTGGTGAACCACCCCAAAAAATACCAAGCTGTGAAATAACTACTATCGAGGAAAATAAAATCACTTTACTTACTACAGACCATGAAAACCTAAATTTATCAGAAAATAATATACCTCGTAATATGCCTATGTATATGATGTATAGACTTCTCTTAGATCAAAATAAATTTTAGTTGAGTCAATAGTATTCGCTATTTGTTTAAGAAAAGTGTCTCTTTAATCAAGAAATGTCCCTTTTCAATCAAGAATTTTTGCATGAATCAAAGAGACTATTGTTCTTGTAGCAAGAACTTCTTTGCGTATTCATTTTGGGTCAAGAGTGAAATACTTTGGACAGATAGATTCTTCTATTCTCTAAAGTAATTTTTTAAAGCTTATGAAAAGATAGTTAATGCTTTGGGCAAAGAAACGTCGTTCTTGGCCCTATTGAAAAGCGCCAATCTTTTGGGTCAAAGTCATATTCATTTCGACTGAGAGATCCTTTTTTTCAGTGTATGACTGTCAAGTGCTATCAGAACAAGCTCAACCTGTATCAAGAAAGTCTTTGCTGCAGACTCTGCGATAAAAATCCTGAAACAGTAGACCAAGTAATATGTAGCTGCGAGGCTCTGGATCACAAGTAACTCTTTCTATTTGGGAACGGAAGATTAGAATCGGAGAAACTACGGTCCCATCCTATTAAAGACCTGCAGACGCCTAGTGCAGTTGCGCAGGACTCGGTGCCGACATAGAAAGGTTACAGACCCAATAGACTTGACATATTGCAGTGTTTCTGGTCCCTTAATATTAATGGAAAATAACGCTGAAATAGTGGCGAAGGAAAGAATTAGTAAGCATTTACCGTCAATTTTGTCTCCCAGGATGCTGTATCTGACTTTAGCGTTCAGGCCTACATCTTTGTCTGTAGCTAGTGCTGTAAGTACCCAGGTGCCTACGGGCAAATTTTCTTTAACCGTTGCATAGTACGATTGTCTTTTGAACTCTGGACTGTGATCGTTGACGTCTTGGACTACAATTCTTAACGTGCCTGTGCCTGTCAGTGGTGGTGAGCCTGTAAAGAAATTAAAATTAATATAGTAACTACTCAAATGCAAAAAACGCTACAAGTAACCTTTTTGGTCAAACATTTCTGTTATATTTTTGTTATTTGTTGCCCTATTTTCATGAATTTTTTAGCAAGCTGTATATTAGTGGAGTGCCCAGAGACTTTTACCTCGGAATTCAATTACTGTGAATGTATTATTGTGAAACCTTCTGTATTGTGTTTTATAGATAAAATACTAAAATGTTTACCCATTTTTTTTCGTTGCTTTTAATTTTCTATTTTACTAATTTTAGTAAATTCTTAATTATTTCCTTCTCTTAATATTTTGATTTTTCTAATTCTTTTTCTAAGTAAATTTATTGAAATAAATGAATCTAATACGTAAGCTATACCTATTCTGCTTATATTCTAATCATTGAAATTTTGATTGAAATCGAATTATACAGGGTGGCGCGTCATATAGGACGCGGTTTTTGCAAGGAGAACAAAAGTTTGTATTGAAGTGAAATTTTTTGAGCTTATGTAAGTCAATTTAAAGTATTTTCTAAAATTATGTAGAGTTCTACAGGGTGTCCCCAAAAAAAGTTATATTTTTTGTAATGGAACACCCTATATATTAATTGATTTTTGGATTCTAGTAAAAAAATTAAGATTTGTTTCATTAGAAAAGTATATGACTAAAATGTATAGTTTTTGAAATACATTCAGCGGCACGAAAAATGGGCACCTTGAAAGTTTGATGTATTTTAAAGGTTAATATATTTTAATTTAATGGACCGATTTTGATGATTTTTTAAGCAGTGTGTTGCCTGATTATTTGACTTCTTAGTATCTTTTTCTAAATTAAAAATGAAACTCCCCATCTGTTAATTATACGAGGGAAAACAAAATGTTGGTATTTTTGATGAAAGTTTGAAACACCTTGTAAAATATGTTAAAACAGGAAGCAATTTAAAAATTTGCAGCTTGCTAAAAAACTCATGAAAATAGAACTAAAAATGACAAAAATATAACACTTTAAATTTGACCGAAAATGAGTGTGTTAATATAATAATATAAATCTATTCAGTATAATAATGATATCAAAAAATAACGTTTTAACGTTTAAAACAGATTAACTGTTTAATTGTTTAATATTAAATAACGAGATGGAATAAACGTAGATATATTAGCGGCCAGCCATTTCAATATTCGGATTTTTTCAGCGTTCTCGCATCGCCTTCGGAACAAGTTCCTGACTAATGAGTTGTATCCTATTTTAGAGCGATATTTTCATTAGGGCTCCTCCGGACACCCTCGGGTCACGACAATGAAATATCTCCTCTCGCAAAGACAAATAATTCAAAGGCCGTCGCAACGGACCGTTCTCGCGTTATCGTTTCCTATTAATTTTCCGTTTATTATGTCGGCCATTTTTGTCTATTAGCCTCACAACGAGGCGTTGGTCTTCGACGTTTGGTCGTGGTTGTTTTGCAACGTCTATAGAGAAGTAATTTAGATGAGGTATTAGAATAAATAGAATGTTCCGTTTGGCTTTATATCGAAGTTTAAGCTAAAAATGGTATTGTATTCAGTTTCTATGGTTCACAAATTAATGTAGGCACCTTCTCCTTGTTTCGTCTCTGTACAGAATAGCTGAAAAACTATTAAAATATCGGAAAAATTCTGAAAAAATATGCAGAGAATTAATTTTTAAAAGAATTATGATTGGAACTCCGCCATTTTCTGCAATTATTGATAACTCATTTGCTCAAATAAGTGACTTCCTAGACGCTATAAAATATAAATTCAAAAGAAAATAGCATATTTAAATCTAGAAAAATATTTAAATATACATGGTGAGTTAAATAAGTAAAAATTTTGAAGAAGAAAGTCAAGTAAGCTAGTTATTACATAAAATTATCTTTTAATGTTTTTAAAATTTTTGTAAATTACTTGTTTTTTGTTTCACGCAACTATACACGTTCTGTAACTTTGAATAAAAAGATTAAGAAAGGAGCATATAAAAATCTTAGATTGACCGCGAAGGGGTCCTAGAATGGCCGACTTAAATTCCGGTATATCAGTGCCGTTCTAATTTTATTCAAAACGTGTAAATATATGATGTAGGGTAGACTCAATAATTTGTTGTTTTATTTTACGTTGTTAATAAATGTTGGTAATTATTAAAATTGTTATTAAAAATAGATAAGTTACAGTAATTATTTATTAACACAAACATCCGATACGCTACTGAAGCAGTTAAGTCAAATTGAATCATGTCATTTACATAAGTCATTTAATCTTTGACTAGTAGCCTTGTATATATATTCTTAAAGTTGCTCAACCGACCAGACAAAGTGTGCTGCCAACTGGAGGACAAATCGTGAACCTTTCGGGGCGGAGTCAAAAATATCGATTATTTTCGTTATTTTCCTCAGAGTAATGTAATAATATAACCCGGGATTCTGCGAACTTTAATAGTGATCAGCTTATTAAGAAATTTAAACGAAACTTTTATTTTATTGTAAATTGTGGATTATTTTTGCCTGTTATTTTAAGAATTCTAAACCGTATTAACAAAGAAATTATTATTTCGATATGTTGGTACATTATTTATAATGATTTATGATAATGCTAATTGCTGTTAATTAATATTAAAAAAAATTACATACCTATTTTAATTTGATTTACTGCAGGTGTATAAAAGAATCATTTCATTCTTAGATTATTTTATTCTAAATTGAGTGCTTTACGAATTTTACGATAGTTTTTTTTGAAAACATAAAACTTTTTACATTTTTGATGCCAACTAATTGGCATGGTATTATTGGTATGGAAATTAGCCAAGAAAGAAAAGAATTGGCTATAACTTGTAATTTTTCGAAAAAAAAATATTATACCTGTATCGCTGAAAAACTAAAAAATTGCGCTTTTTATGAAGTCATGGTCAACTATGGTTTCCATTTAAAAAAACATAATGTTTGTGTCATATGTCAAAAATGACAGGCTTTAGAAAAAAAAACAGAAAACACAAACTCATTAGGTATGTGATTATCTACAACTTTTATCTGAAAACTTTTTGTCTAAAATACCGTATGATCGAATAAAAACGGCGCCAGCGATGGCTATGAAATGACGATCGATGATATTTCCCATATAATTTTACATATAAAATGATAGCGATCTTCATTTCATAGCCATCGTTGACGCCGTTTTTATTCGATCATACGGTAGATTATAATGGAATTAGACACAAGTTTTAAAATGGCCAAAATTTGTTTTTTTTTCGAAATATCTAGTAAGCCTTAAACTTCTCCGAAAAATCCGAAAGGCGCATATTTATGACCCCACAAAACTGCAATTGTTTCCCCATTTAATCGACTCTCTATCTCCAGTAGTTTCCGAGATACCCATAGAGAACATCGTAGGAAACTCACCCTGTATAGTATTTAGAAACTAACTATTATTATTATTTGACTAGATTAATTTGATTAATAAGACTCGATTAATTTAATTTAAAATATATTTGATCAGATTTTTTTTTCGTATATTCTACTACCAGAAAACCAAAATTATATGATAACGCACTTTTCAACGAAGTTGAAGGAAGATATAGTGTATCTATCACAATACTTAATAGAATTACTACAATTAGAAGAAAAATAAAAAGAAAAAATACTCAAATACCGTCACCTACTACTCATCTACAAAATAAACTAATATAATCTCTAATAAAAATACTACACAACTACTTCTTCTATTCTACACTGAAAAAATTAACAAACTTACTAATTAATCAAACAAAAAGAAAAAATAACCAAATTATACCTTCACCTACTACTTAACTACAAAATAATAAACTATAAAAACATTACTAAACTATTTCTGGTATTCTACACTAAACATTATAATTAAACATAATAAAGTTAATCTAATTTTACACTACAACCACTACAACTACAAAGAAATAAGAACATTTTTTAAAACTAGAAGTAACAGAACTTCGATACGTGCGACCAGTATAATAGATGAAGCGGACAAAGAATATAAAATACTTTAAAAATGTGCATTCAGAAAGAAAAAATATCTTGAAAATTATCCAAACAAACATTTTTTTTTCTTATCGGTGAAAAGCATCGGCCTCGTCGGCCTTGCGGAATTTGTCGGGTATTTACAATGGTCGAATTGTATAATTACCAGCTTTTATAGTATATCTAATAGATAACAAGTATCTGGTCGATTAGTAACCAATTGGCACAGTCCGAAAATTATCGATTTTTATTTTCTCTGTTTTTATTGGTCGCTTCAAAATTCATAGTAACAAAAAATATTTTTCTGTAGTAAAAGACCGTAAAATACGCCCCGCCATCTGGTCCTTTACATCCATAAACGTTTTAGGTTGAGCTACTTTAAAAATTCATATACAAGGCTAGTAGCAAATAAAAGCATAAATGCAAGAAAAAATATATAATTAGTTAATTTTAGGTGAATTTCATAAATGATCGGTTTACTACACGTTTGTATATTATATATTCACTTTCTAGCGAAATAATATTCCATTATTTCTCTCGATTTTTGACCGAGATCTTCCGCACACTAAACAACCAACTATTTTTCAGTCTTTTTCGATAAATCCCAATAGTGTCACTCAGGTGCCACTGTTAAATTAAGTTCGGCTACTATTTCCTTCCAGATTTACTAACCTTTAAACAAATATCAGTAGTAGAATAAATAATAAATAATATAAAATAAGCTCAGTAAAGACTGACAAATTCACAAAATTTCAAATCAAATTCAAATATGTCAAATGAATCGTCAAACAAAACTGTTAAGGATCCCCACCCTAGGACCCTTTGCCCGTCTACCTTGCATGAATATACGCATAACATTATACTCCTTCCTTAATCTTTTTATTCAAAGTTCTGTAATTACAGCATATAGATGGAATTAAGAATCTTTTAAAGACATTGTCACCCTTCAACGAGGTAGTACATAGTTATAAAGTTATTTATTACTCAATAAAA